AAACAAATACATTAAAAAATTTTTTTTTAATAGTAAAAATGTAAACAGAAACAATGGCTCCCTGATCTCCAGGCACATCTCATTTCCAGTCATACTGAACAGTCGTGAACCAAAGGCATGTAATAACAACAGTTTACAAGGAAACGAAAGATCGGCAGGACTCCCACTGATGGTATGTATTTAAGATGAGAGAAAGCACCATGAGAATGACCATAATTACACGTGTTTGAGTTCCACAGATTCTAAGCTCATCACTAATTTACTATCATTTTGACATACTTACAGGAGTAAATGAGCGCCGGAAAGAGAGTTTCGTTTCTCTCTTGAGCTGTTTCAACCAGCATTCGAAGTGGACCTTTGGGGCACAAAACAGCCACTAAATCTAGAAAAGGAAAAATAAAATATGACATCAAATAAAATGTCCTGGGTAATGTGTAAGTGGGTATTCTAGGAGAGCAGAGGGAAGGGGACATATTCAGCACTTTCTGCTTCTACACAGAGCTGGCAGGCAAGCTGCCGGGATGGGCAGAGACCGCCTACGCCCAGCACACCAGGTCAGAGCTGCTACGTGCCGAGTCCGCTGAGCATCATCGCTGGGCTCTAGTGATGGAAACAGAATGAGGCTCCCCAGCTGAAGGATGGAGTGAGAGGGAGCGGGCAGAACTACCCTAGAACTCTCGTCAATCTGCAATAAGCAGAAACAGGGACCTATTTTTGAACTAAGCTTTAAACAGAAGCTTTATTCAAAGTATTTTTATATTTATTTATTCATTTATTTAGTCTTTTTGAGACAGGGTCTCCCTATGCAGCTCAGGCTGGCCTTGAACTCACTTTGTAGCCCAGGCTAGTCTCGAACTTGCAATGATTTTCCTGCCTCAGCCTTCTGAGTGCTGGGATTACAGGCCTGCACCACCACACCTGAACAAATATTTTAAAATAGGAAGAGCAGAGAGAGAAGATATCCACTTTCTCCTTTTTACAAACAGTACCCAAGGCTAGGGATAGAGCTCAGTGGCACAGCAGCTGCCTAGCAGCTATGAGGCCTTGGGTTGGATACCCAGAGCTACAGGAAAAGCGAGCGAGCGAGCGAGCGAAGTCTATGTGCTACTTAAGAATACTTGAAACAAGAGCTTACCAAATTTAAACAGAAAAAAAAATAATTGTCTGCATGATGTTTAGTATTTCTTTAGTTTCCAGTCAAATACAAGTACTCTACAAATATTTTTGTCTCAGAGTACATGTGCCGAAAACTACAGTGCCCACCTCAAAGTGCAAGGTCCTGAGTTCAATTGCTGGTAAAGAAAACAAACCATGAAAACAACAAAGAGAAGAAGCAAAATATTTAAATCATTCCCAATTCTACCACATTTCCTTCTGTCAACTGCAGTTTTTCCTAAATTTTCTGTCATTAAGATTCATAATACAGAAAATAGTTTCAAAAAGACCAAACATATAAAGCTACTGTGGGCAGTCTTATTGGTTTTACTGTATTGGATGCATTTGTGTAAAAAAAAAAAATTAAATAGAAAAACCTTCATGTTTGCAAGTAATAATGTCTCTGTGAATTTTGAAAGTAATAAAGCAAGAGGAAAAGGAATACAGAAGCAGGCGCATGCCCACAAGACACAGTAACACACATGCACGCACACAGGGGCACACCTGGACACCTCTGCTCTCATCACTTCCACTTCAATTTGTCTGGACAACCAAGGGACATTTGCAGTGCTCTGAAATGACTGTCAGCCTGCTGTCAGTCCACAAGCTTAACTATTTTGGTTTTCTGAGTTTCCCTTACAGAACTTCAAAGTGAAAAACTCATTTATTTTTAGAACAATTAAAGTGAGTGAAAGTTAATTTTGCATCAAAATTTTAGAGTACTGATGACACAAACATTTTGAGGCTTTGTGAAAATGAAGAAGCGCTACTTGATACCCTGGGTCTATGGGTGTGGTGGCACACGCATGTGATCCCAGCTCTGGGGAGCTGAGGCAAGAGGGTCACTGTGAGTCCTGCTGTGTAGTGAGACCCTGTACCAAACACAGAAAAGAAAGTTAAACACTGGGTCTAAGGCCCTCAAAGCAATTCCAAATTCTGAAGAGAGAATCGTTTGTGTGTGTGAGGTGTGGAAGAAGGAGAGGCTGATGGAAAGGATGCTGAATCTGGGATTCAGATTCTAGATCAAACCATGTAAAAGTCTGGGTAAATAATTTATATTCATAAATTTCAAGTTGTTTTTTTTTTTTTTCCTCGCTCCGAATGCCTTCAGGGCAGGTTTGGCTGGCTGGAGTTGTGGGGATTGAACCACAGCAACCTGAGCCTGACTGCTTTGTTGAAGCAGCCACTTAAAGAAATGAGCTAAGGGGCAGGCCCCCAAATTTCAAGTTTTTTAGTAGCAAAATAGTGACTGCCTCGCTTATTTCACAGGATTATATATTT